CTTACATTGGCCTCTCTTAGTCCTTGAAGAATATTTAATGTACAAAGATAAGGTATCTTTGTCTCATTTTTATTTATCTATTATTTAAGAAATGAATTTGATTTTTGAGAATTCATGAGGACATGAACTACGACGCTTCATGCCGGTATATTTCATGAAGCGCGTTAGCATTACATTATTTTTGCGATGATTTGCTATATATTTTTGTCATTCAAAGATCATTTTTGATTAAAACAAGATGTGTTTGTGAAACACTGATGCCCCCGTATGGCAACTTATAGCAAAGGTTAAACTTTCTCAAATGCAAATCAAATATGTTGGTACCCAAAGTAAGGTTTTGTCTCGAGGAATATACCTGTGAAATATGAAAGCCCTAGCAGCAACCATTGAATAGATACAGAAAAGGTTAAAGTTTTTCAAATGTAAGTCAAACATCAAGGTCAAGGTCAAATGGTCAAAATTAATGGTGCCTTAGGAAAGGCATTCTCACAAGAAATATACAGGTGAAATATTAAAACCATAGCACCAATCGTTCAAATGTTATGACCAAGGTTTAAGTTTTTCAAGAGTAGGTCAAAATCCAGGGACAAGGTCAATGGATTACAATTGTTCGTATCCAAAGGAAGGTCTTGTCACAAGGATTACATATGTGAAGTATGAAAGCCCTAGCACCAACGGTTCAAAAGTTATGGCCAAGGTTAAAGTTTTTGAAAAGTAGGTCAAACTCCAAGGTCAAGGTCAAAGGGTCAAAGTTGTTAGTATCCAAAGGAAGGTCTTGTCACAAGGATTACATATGTGAAGTATGAAAGGCCTAGCACCAACAGTTCAAAAGTTAAGGCCAAGGTTAAAGTTTTTCAAAAGTAGGTCAAACTCCAAGGCCAAGGTCAAAGGTTCAAAGTTGTTGTTATCCAAAAGAAGGCCTTGTCACAAGGATTACATATGTGAAGTATGAAAGGCCTAGCACCAACGGTTCAAAAGTTAAGGCCAAGGTTAAAGTTTTTCAAAAGTAGGTCAAACTCCAAGGTCAAAGGGTCAAAGTTGTTGGTATTCAACGGAAGGTCTTATCACAAGGATTACATATGTGAAGTATGAAAGCTGAAGTATCAATCGTTCAAAAGTTATGGCCAATGTTAAAGTTTTTCAAAAGTAGGTCAAACTCTAAGGTCAAAGGGTCAAAGTTGCTGGTATCCAAAGGAAGGACCTGTCACAAGGATTACACATGTGAAGTATGAAAGCCTTAGCACCAATTGTTCAAAAGTTATGGCCAAGGTTAAAGTTGGATCAAATTTTGCAAAACTGGGTCAAACTCCAAGGACTAGTCAAGAGGCCAAATATGTTGGTATCCAAAGAAAGGTCTTGTCACAAGGAATACACATGTGAAATATGCAAGCCATAGCTCCAACCAATCAAAAGTTATGGGCAATGTTAATGTTTTTGCGGAACAGACAAACAGACACACAGACGGACAGACAGGGCAAAACCTATATACCCCCGAATCTTCGATACGAGGATAAAAAAGTTTGCACTTTTTTTTTTACTTCAATTAAGTCACAATGGAAATATTCTCACTCATCCCGCGTAGTTCATGAGAACGTGAACTTTTTTCTAAAGAAAAATATTTGGAAATGTAAATATATACAAGTTTACCTGACCATTAAAAACTATGAAAGCACTTTTAATTATGTTTTATATATTATGAAAATTCTTGCATAAATCTCTTATTCAATTGACCTTTCACGATTACATTATTTACACTGATTAATTATCATAGGTGAATAGCAAAGGGGAATAACTTCTCTCAGTATAATACAAATCAATAGGGCCTTGCCCAGCACCAGAACACTTGACCAAGTGGTCCAGATTTTCACAAATATGGTATTAAAAAAAGCAAGATGTGTTTGTGAAACACTGATGCCCCAGTAAAGCAGCTTATGGCGAAGGTTCAAATTTTTCAAATGCAGCCAAGTCAAACTCCAAGGTGAAGGTCAAGAGATCAAAAATGTTGTTACCCAAAGAAAGGACTTGTGTCAATGGATATACTTGGTAAATATGAAAGCCCAAGCACCAACCATTTAACAGTTATGGTCAAGGTTAATGTTTTCTTAAAGTGGGTCAAACTCCAAGGTCAAAGGGTCAAAAATAATTGCATGCAGTGGAAGACCTTGTCATAAGAAATCCACATGCAAAATATAAAAGCCTTAACATCAATTGTTCAAAAGTTATGTACATGTATAAGGTTAAAGTTTTTTAAAAGAAGGAATACAGTGTGAAAATTGAAAGCCCTAGCACTAATTGTTCAAAATTAACGGTCAAGATTAATGTTTTCTAAAAGTGGGTTTAACTCCAAGCTCAGAGGGTCAAAAATAATTGCATGCAGTTGAAGATCTTGTCATAAGAAATCCACATGCAAAATATAAAAGCCTTAATAACATCAACTGTTCAAAAGTTATGTACATGTATAAGGTTAAAGTTTTTTAAAAGTAGGTCAAACTCAATGGTCACGCTCAAAATTGTTCGTAGTCAAAGGAAGATCTTTTACAAGGAATACAGTGTGAAAATTGAAAGCCCTAGCACTAATTGTTCAAAATTTACAGTCAAGATTAATGTTTTCTAAAAGTGGGTTTAACTAAAAGGTCAAGGGATAAAAATTAATGGTACACAGTGGAAGAACTTGTCATCAGAAATACACATGCAAAGTACAAAAGCCCTAGCACCAACTGTTCAAAAGTTATGACCAAGGTTAAAGTTTTTCAAAATAAGGCCAAACTCCAAGGTCAAAAGGTCAAAATTGTTGGTATACAAAGGAAGGTCTTTTTACGAGGAATGTAGAATTTGAAAGCCCTAGTGCTTACTGATCAAAAGTTATGGCCAAGGTTAGAGTTTTTTAAAAGTGGGTCAAACTCTAAGGTCAAGGTCAAAAGGTAAAATAAATATTTACACTCATGAAAAATTCTTTTCTCATATACAAGTGAAATATGAAAGCCTTAGCACCAACCGTTCAAGTTGCCCGCGGTAGTTGGTAGAGGGTCTGCTCTAGACTCGCATATTAAGGAGATAATCCTTACGTCGCAGGCTTACATGTATATCCCACTGTGGGACATGGAGACTGGTCCTTCGGATGAGACCGTATAAACTGAGGTCCCGTGTCGCAGTAGATGCTGGCACGAAAAAGATCCCTAACTGCTCAATGGCCCTGAGTGTCGAGTATAGGTCAAAATTTGCAGCTCTCCACCGGCAAGTGGTGGCGTCTCCATATGAGTGAAAAATTCTCGAGAGGGACATTAAACAACAACAAACAAACAAACCGTCCAAAAGCTATGGCCAAGGTTAAAGTTGGGTAAATTTTTGCAAAAGTGGGTCAAACTCCAAGGACTAGTCAAGAGGCCAAATATGTTGGTACCCAAAGAAAGGTCACAAGGAATACACATGTGAAATATGAAACCCATAGCTCCAACCAATCAAAAGTTATGGGCAATGTTGATATTTTGCTGACAAACAGACAAACAGACAGACAGATGGACAGGGCAAAAACTTTATACCCCCGAATCTTCTATTACGAGGGCATAGAAAACCCAAACCCTTCCTTATTATATACATATCTGTACTCTTTTTGCCTCCTTGCTGCCCAGTAGCAGAGCAGATTTTTAAAGAAATAATGCATTTTTATTTTTCACTAAACATTCAACACATCTCCGCCCTAACACCAGAATTCCTGACGCAAGGTCATGAAATGCACTATTTTGGAAGAAGCACCCTTGGTCATCATGACTAAACACTTCGTTTGTTTGCTTAATACCCAGGGGCAGAGGATACAATTTTCAAAGAAGCAGAGATTTTCAAGGAAGTAATGCATTTTTACCATATAATCAAAAGAGCCCACTTTCCAAAACCCCTGATCCTGGGGCCACAAATATCACAATTAGCAAGAGGCACTGTTACTCGTATTAACCATAGAGGCAGGGACCATGAAATCTATATATTTTTGTTGTTTCTCTTTACTCATAGATGCTCTATGCCAAAATTGGTTGAAACTGATTCAGCAGTTCCAGAGAAGAAGCTGAAAAGGTTCAAATTTAAAGAAGTTTGTTCCTGAGCTTTTGAACAGATTTTTGTCTTGACCTCTATTTAAAAAATTCTGCACAATGTTTTAGTTCTTACGATAAATTTGGATTCTACAATGCCAATTAAGGACAGATGATACAGACAAAAAAAAAATGGATGCCTGGATTGGTATATATTTTTTGAACTATTTTAATTGTAAATGATTAGAATAAAATATTTCCAAAATATGAAGAAATTGTAAACTTTCTACGATGTTCAAAAATTCCACCTTTCTGCAACCATCCTTATTAATCTATACAATTTTTTGTCACTTTAACTCCAAATATTTAAGTAATATCTAAAATCAACATCACAGACCCCCACTTTTAATTTTCTTTTCTGAATATATAAGATAATTTTAAACATTCTGCTTTAATAAATTCAGAAAAAAAAATTCACTACTTTCAAATGATTTTATTGCTTGTTAAATTTTAAATGCCAGAAAAATTACATTTTTTGAGTGCAAAAAAGGTAAAATAATTGACTATGCGAAGTAATTTGAAACTTTTTTGTTGTCACAAACTTTAATGTGACTACACTGTATTTTAAGATGAAAAAATACTGTGTTTGTTCCCATAATTTATTTGGATAAAAAGTATGAAAGGAAAAACTTTGAAAAAAATTATTTTTGTGTTAGATGTAATTACAGTGCAAAAAGGTCATACTAAATGCTCCGTAGCGCCAAAAGAAGCGCATCCCCACTAAAATAAATAAATAAATAAATAAATAAATAAATAAATAAATAAATAAATAAAAAATGATCGTGATTCTAGGAATGTGTAGTTTCGGCGCGGATCAAAAGCCAAAAATATTCATTAGGTGTTTTTTTTTTAATTTCCGGTGAGCATGCGCAGATCATTTTCGTACCTGTCGAATTGAAGTGGTTCTTCCGCTGTGGTTATCAACGATACTATTTACATTTTTCTAAATATTTTACATCATTTTAATTAGGTGCTGTGTAAAGAATTACCGTACAAGAAGCATTTGTGATACTCATAATTACTACAGCAGGCCGTCTCTTTTGAATATGGATTAGAAATAGGGCATTGAAATGACATAATTCGTTCCAAATCATGTGTTTTTTGAGTTTTCGCGAATAAAAATCTATTTCTTGGTGAAGTCCATATAATCAAAGGTGAGTAAATTGCACATTAAGATTGATCAGTGATAGATTACTTACTATACATTATCTAACATATCAAGGTAAACATGAATGAATCGTGTGAAAAACATGGCTGCCGCATCTAATTTCAGTGGGTGGTTCCTTTATTTGCGCTTATTAACTTGAATATATGGTTTTAAAAGTTATCGTTTATAAAATGTAATGTAAATTAAAATTCTCACAGTTGTAGGCCAACGAATGAAATGAACCATAGAAATACGAAGCACTATGCATACAAAATCTCTCAAGCATGACGAATGTGGCATGTTTTGATAAACTGGAATTGTGTACAATACACTGTACTCTAATAACCCGGTCAGTTCAGACATGGTACATTGCATTTAAATTTCAAGCTAAATAAAGGGCTTTGGCTGTTAAAAAAGGACAGGGTATTAGTTTATCCATTTGGGAACAGTAGATGTTATACCTAGGTTTAATTTATTTTTAGATTCAGCTTGTAACATGGGAGTCAAGCTGCTGATAATAAATAAATAATCAGGTCCAGCACAATCTCTTGATTTAGCTACAGCACCATGGCAAAAGCATGCACAATTTTCAAAAATGGTGCACGTAAACTTTGATGCATCTGATGTGGACAGACATGAAATGTCAAAACATTTTTATTTTAAACAACATTTATTTGATGATAAGTTTCTCACACATAATGACAGCAGATAAAAGGAATGGTTTGGATTCATAAAGAGTTGCAGCTAAGGTAGTTCTGATCAAACAAAGTCAAAGAACTCTTCAAGGGTCCAATTATTTTGTTGTTTTTTGTGTAGAGAGTGATATTCACAATCTTTTGATAATATTTATGACCAGGTACTATGTTGACCACACAATATATGCAATAATTTGAATATTATATTCCCATTTGAAATCCCAAGTAATATGGGCTCTTTGGATGGGGACATTGTCATCTCGAAAACCATTCAATTTTTTGGCTTAAATGTCCCAAAATGTCTAACCATAGAGACTTTTCTAAATTTGTAGCATATTTTTCTGCATTTTTCTACTGTTTAAAGACATAAACATGATAAAGTTCCATCTTTGTATATGTAATACATGTACAACCACACACCATAATTGGTACCCATGTTTGACAATGGGGGCACCTGCACACAAGGAAAATTAAATTTTTTGATGTCCTTCACACATTAACTCAGTGTTTTTTTTTCTCCAAACTATCTGGATTTCATCAGGAAAAATATAGATCAGTGTTCCAATGATTATCATTAGTCATTAGTATGTTTCTAATGTTTAGAATTATCTGTAATTAAGCCTTAAGTTTACTTTTTTACATGCGTCGCTGCCAATTGTTTTTCTGACCACTCCTCTCTTCACATCTTTTCATATAATTTTTTTGCACTGTCCATGGATTTAAATTATTGTTTTGGTCCCTGCTTTCATTAAAATGGTTCATTATCATAATTATGTCATTTGAAACACGTCCACTATTCATATTTATTTCTGATCCCACTGTGACATCTTGAATAGATGCTTCTTTTCACCTTTTTCAACCTCTTCTTTTAATAAATGTTTATTTTACAGTAATCTGATGATAGATTCTGATATCCCTAATGAATGTTCAGTGGTCATGTCCAATCATGATTTTGCTCTTGTCTGAAAATATTACTTTCCTCCAATTATTTTTAACTGTCCATTTGCTTCTCCTTTCTACACCAAGCAGTGTATTTCCATGGTTAACTGCCTTCACTACTAGTTTCTTCTTACTTACACACCTTCTATACTCAAGTTTGAATGGTATGCTTACTTAAAGTCTTGTGTTTAATAAACTTCGATGTTATGTCACAGTGATTCCCAAGGATGCGTTTTCAAAAGCCTTTCCAAACTGCAGTAATCTCTTTCTTTCATTTTTGCTGGAAGCCCACTTCTCAGTTTGTGTTCTACTGAACCTCTGGCAAAAAACTTTCGAGCTACATAAACAAATTTTGATTTGGGAATTTTCAACATATTGCTTATCTTGTAATGGGATGAGCCATTCTGTTACAAATGGGCTATGTTTTTCACTTCCTTCCCAAACTCTCACCTTTTTCTTCCCATATTTTTGTCCCCTGATTTCGCAAAAGCGAGGGGACATTAAATCACACTCGTCTGTAAGTCCGTGTCTCAAAAACTTTAACCTTGCACGGGTCTTAACTTTTGAATAAGAAAAGATAGGGCTTTCATATTTCACATATACTTTAACTGTGATAAGACCTTTCCAAGTAATATTTGACCCTTTTGACCTTTTAAATTTGGCATACTTTTCAAAAACTTAACATTGGTGATAACTTTGGAATGAGATAAGATTGGGCATTCATATTTGATGGTGCATTACCTGTGGGAAGACGTTTCCAAATGTACAATGGTTTTTAACCCTGTGACCTAACTGACCTTGATCTTGAAAGTTTGGTCTAAATAACATTACTTATAACTTTTGAATGAGAGAAGATATGTCTTTCATATTTTACATGTACATTTCCTATGACAACACGTTTCAGAAAGTAGACTACTACATGTATATTTGGCCTCATGACCTTAACTATAGATTTGACCTAATTCTCAAAAATTATAATTTGGCCATAATTTTGCTCCAGAAGAGCAGGTATTTCAATTCAAATTTTCATATTAAAACTGTTGCAAATGACTTTTCTACAAAAAAATCAGAGGGGTGGGGGGGTTGTTGTTTTCCAAATAGCATCTGCAAAAGAGAGTGAGTGAATGGAGTGTGATTCCTGTGTAATGTCTTGGACTTAATGTATGTGTCCAATTCAGATAATGATAATAATAGATAAGAATAGAAATATTTTTCCTTGCAAGGATAGTAATATTGTAAATAGTGATATGGTAGTTATTAATGAGTGAAAATAAAGAGTCCTTTAGATACAAAGATCTGATGTGAACTGTGAGGAAGGTCAAGAAAATATTGGGGGTGGGGTCTCAGTCTTAAATATGCTGATATGTTAAAGTGTATAGATATATGATTTAATGCATGCTACTTGCATGAGATTTTACTTCAATTCAGAATGATAGTAATTGTTTTGTAAAGTAGTTACTGAGTGGTAAAGTAGTATCAGACTTGTATTAGTTACATATAAATACACAAACATGCCACATAAATAAAATTATGGTACATAATTCAAGGTTCTCTTGGATTGAATGATGGTATTAGATGAGATGTGATATGTTTTAGATTTATACAAAATCTTTTTTTTTCAAATTTAAGAATGTTCAACATGTTTGATAACTAATAAGTAATGACTAACTCAACTAACTGATGTATTTATTGAATGATGTTATCCACATCTGAATTAGGCCAAAGTTTAATGTTCAAAGTTACTCGCTAAAAACTTGTGTAACTGTGAAAGCTTGGAAATATTACAACAATCACTCTTAAACACAATACCATTTTATATAAATATACAGGAAGGAAGTGAAGAATTCTACATAAAATATGCACTTGATTTTTAGCATCAGAGACATGATAATCTTGTATGTTACAGTTTTAATGACAATTTGTTTGTTTCCTTGAAAAGTGGATTTATTTTTTACAGTTTTATTTTATCAATCAATCTAAATCAGGAAAATTTTTGCCTTTTAGAGATGTGTCATTAGATAAAAAAAATATTTTAAAGAATTTAAATTTAATATCAAATTCTGGTAGTGAACATTATGAAACCATGATCATACAATATTAGATATGCAGCTGAACTTTGATGGCTATTTATGTTAATGATATCTAGTGCTAATTGTGAATAAAGGTATACAGGTGAATGAGGACTATATATATATACGTCATACAGTGTAGTCTCACATTAAACTGAGTAATGCATGGATTAGTCATATTACGAGTGACCAAATTTACTGTGCTTTATTTGCCTTTGTGTTTTTGAATTGTTCAGTGTATCTACTTGGGATTTAATGATTTGTTTGTAAAACACAACCTTCCGTTGTTTGCCATTTACCTTACATAACTTGACCTCAGGGAAGTTGAGGACAACCCTACCATGACGGTAAGACGAAAACATCACACTGTACTTTGTTTATTAATGTGTTCAACTTATATGTGTTTATCCAAGCACATGCACATACATGTGCTTTATAATACTACATTTTAAATAGAGTATTGTTGGATTGTTACTCTGTGTAAAAAAAAAAATGTGTAAAAAGTATTTACCTTGGGTAAAAATATAAAGGTAGAAATCATATGATATGCAGTTTTCATATCAAAATACAAGAAACCTTTCAGAAATCAGTATTATTAATTGGTATGTTGAACAAGGGTTTAAACTTCGTTAGATTTGCTAAGATATTTTTCAAAGGTCACATTGTATTGTTATTTGGACATTTTTTTTGTACAACAATAGTACGAAGTTCAGTCTTGATAGGACAGATTTAGAAAGGAATTCCAACAAAGCAACATTATCTCTGGCATTAAAATCGCCAGATAAAGTTTATTGATTAGTTTCTTGACAAACCTTAGTCCTAATCTTAGTCAATTACTGAGGGAGGAAAGGTTACAGTTTTATGGGGGATTTGACAGTCTGTGGGCAAGGTCTTAGGTTAAGCAGTAGTTTGTCTGTCTAACAATTAATGTAATTCCACTCCTTTTACACAACATATATATATCCACATGTTCAAGGAAAAATGTTAGTCTTCCATGATTTTGTTTACAGTAGCTGGATATAGAGAACTTTCAGTGACCTGTCCGTAGTGTCCATATTGTGAATAAATATTATTATTTCCTATGTAGCTTGTAACACAAGCTTTGATTGGTTACAAAATCAGATGTAAATTTCCGTATACCCGTCACAATGCATAGTTTCTCTATGATAAAAAGCAGATAACATGACGTCACGATGCATTGTAGTAAAACACAGCTGATTGTTACTTGTTTACAAAGAATTTATTTGGGTACATAGGAAATAAATCCATTATCCAGGTCCAATTAAGGGTGTATGGGGATTTTCCCCGGGTTGTATTCCATACACCCTTCGGCCTTCAGCCTCAGGTTGTATGGAATAAAACCCGGGGTAAATCCCTGTACACTCTTGATTGGACATGTTCATTGCATATAATGCATTCAGGAATGAGGAAAGGATTTTTTTTAAACAATGTAAAAGTTTGCTTTTGTAGTCACAAATTTTTGATAAACTGGCTTTCTTAATTTGATTGAGAATTTTGATGAAAACAGAATCTAAACAATGTGTATACCGGTAACACTTGCTGAAAAAGTTGCTAGTCTGGATGTTCAATTTTATTTTGTTAATTTAAATAAATTAGAAATAACCAAAAATTCTTTCAACTTTTTTTCATCCCTGCTGAAAATTTGCCAATGGGTGGACATGAATTGAATTTCATAACTTAACTTGGTTTAGTAACTTAGTTCTTCATAACTGTGTCTCAATCAGAAGATTATCCAATCTTGCACACAACATGAAACATTTCATTTTGCATATTATATGTATCCAAATGTAAAAAAAGAACATGAAAATTGACCAACATGAAAAGTGAAATTAAACTTATAACAAATATGTCATATTGATTAAATTGATTATTAAAATTTCAAATGTTTTGTCAAGTTCACATGAAACATTTTTTGGGGAGTATTGAATTTTTTTCATGCCAATGGCTGATTCACGGGGTAGTTTTCTTTTTGTTTTTAACGAATATTACAGGACAAAAATAAATCCAAGATTCCATGTCATCTTAGAATCATCATGCTGATGCACAATCAGATTCAGCATGTTTAGCATTAATACAAGTTTATGATTTATCTTTGAAGGCTGGCATGGAAAGCATCAAGAGGCGGTTGAGTTTTCGCAAAAAGAAGAACCATGTCCCTGAGTGTTCAAAACCACACCAGTGGCAGGAAGACGAGAAGAAAGTGAGAGATGGAACCTGTAGCTTTCAAGTTCGGGTAATTATAAACATTAATCTCATGTACTAAAGATTCAGACAGGACTTCACATGAATGTGGGATTTATAAAGCCTGAGGATAATGAAGACTTGATTATTCTATCACTGACCCATTTTCCTCCTAAGTTTTATAGACAATCTGTTTAAACAAAATAATGATCTGCTCTAATGATTGAGTATTATATGTATTTAAAGAAAAATGCTATAGATATTGAAATTTGAACATCGCAAATGTATAAACGTTTTATGAACACAGACTGAATATTTACCATTGTTATCATGAATTATTATATATTCTACTACTCTACAGTTATTGCTGAGATCAAAGAAATGCAATCAAAGAAAATCAAAGAAAAGGACATTATGTCAAATCTGTACAGTTGAAATGAATATTTCACTGTAGAATATAATACTTATTTAGAACATATCGATGTGTCATCTTATGCAGTCTTAACAGTGTGTATTGCCTGAAACAGCTGATAAATATCCGTTTTTTTATAACTGCTGTTACATGGACCTCCCCACAACATTTACACTCCATGATTTTACTGATAAAGCAATGAAATAGACAACTGATTTTGTTATTTTACATTCATGAAAATTAATCAATATATGTTACGAACAAATTTATATTAAATAATTAAAGGATATTTTTAATCCAACGAAAGCTGGAATCGTCTGCAGTCTATGCAGTCGATACACAAGTAAACATACAAATTGACCCTCTGATGTTAAATGGAACAGCGAAGTTGTGACATGGTGATATAATTCGTTTCTCTACAGAGGAAATGATCGGTTGTATTTTAGAGCTGTTAATAGAATAGAAATAAAGTCCTTATGGTAGTGAAGTTGCAGGATAACTTCCTTGGTCTCAAAATGTTGTGGGAAATATAAAAACCTCGGCTAAGGCTTCGACTTGTATATTTCGAACAACATTTCTTGACCTCGAAGGTTATCCTGCAACATTCATCAAAATGCAGACTTTATTTCTTAATTAATCATGATGTATAATCATAAGAATTCTGATTAAAACTTTTAAATTTTTGTAGCAGTTTAAGTATTTTAAGAGTGAACTTCCCTCCAGAAGATAAAGTGTGTGAATAATATGTCTGTGCAGTTATAAAAACTGTTAATAAATTGCAAACATTTAGCATGAGTACTGGTAAAATGTAGATTTTAAAACAGTGAAATAAATATTTCTTTTTTTTAATGCTTTATAGTACCTTGGTTGTGTTGAAGTTTTTGAGTCCAGAGGCATGCAAGTTTGTGAAGAGGCCGTGAAAACATTGAAAGCTGTGAGTGAGACAGAAATATAAGAAAGATATTCAGAAAACCTTAGATTTCAGTTGCAATATAAAGAATTTTACTTTTGCATAATAGCATCTCTCATTTTGAAAGTTTGAAGTATCTCTGAAATAAAAAAAAAGGTTTAATCCTCACTATTTCTGGTGATTAGTGTCACAATTTATTTCATTATATTCTGTAGCAGTGTAAAGGTAAATACCAGAGAGCAGTATTATATGTCTCGGGAGATGCCTTGCGAGTTGTGGACGAGATCAGCAAAGTGAGTAATAGACTGTTGATCATGTTTTGAAATGGTCTTCATTTTGTTAAATTATTTATACAACACTTTTTCCATGAACAGTATTAGTATTTTCCCATGAACAGTATTAGTTTTCCATTATTTTGACATATTTTACCAGGTGATAGATATTCATATATAGTTATCTATATAGATGTGATAGTGTAATAATCTCTCACCAGACTGAAATGTAATGCCTCATAAAATATGTATGCTTTAAAATATGGTATCAATAGCTGATGCAGTAAGATTGTGATAATTTTTGACAGGATGTGATTTTACTTTATTAATGCAATGTGCCAGTTTTGTATTACTGCCAGGTAGAATCGAGGTGATAAGCAGACTCGTTGCCATACTAGTGCATGCCATATATTCAGTTTAGTTGTGTATACGTCATGTAGGTTTCTGACATATGTAAAAAAAAAAAAAAAGTTGGAGAAGAGAAAAGATTTACCCACAAGCAGTATGTTATTGATTGTGAACTGTCATTTGTCAACTAAATGTGACAGAGAAATGACAATAAATAATGGATATTGATTAAAAAGTGAGAGGAGTCATGAAATACAGCATAGATACTGAACATTGAATAGCTTGTTTCTCTAGAGAATAGTATACAATAGCTGCAAAGTGCCTCTAGGTCAGGAAAAAAGTAAGGGATGTATGAACTTGGTATGAGGACTTTAACGGGATCAGATTAATATCCCGAGACCTTTGTTAGATGTCACTGAGTTGATTCTGTTGACCTTAGATGTTCTAAAGTATTTGTGGATGTCTCAGACAGGGCTTGTCTTCATTGTCTCCTCAGAATTCATTTGATTCCACTTTGTAGTTGGGAATCTTTTGAATTCTTTTCTATTTTTGTTTTGATAACTGATATGAGAATGTGGTATTAAAACACAATTTTATAGCTCTGTGCATGCAAGACAAATAATTTATTTGCCATGGTAATCTAGATGGGGGAATCTGTGGTTTCACTTAAGGAACTTTGGAGGCTGAATAAATAGATTCATCTTCTATCCAGACCATTAAATCAATAGAAGCCTTGAATTTGTAGAAATCTGGGGATGAGGTTAGATTTAGAATCAATCACCAAAATATTTACATAAACCATTCTGGCTTGCCAGATTCATTCATTAGCACCCAGAACTTTGGTTGTGTATCAATGTAGGCAGATAATTTAGATGGATCTACTTAAGCATTCAGTATGTAATAATATTTTCCAAATTTTGACATGTCAAATACCAACAGTAGTCAAAACCCTATATCTCTTGGCAGTTGTATAATAAATTGCTGGTATTACACTTTCCATCCATGGATAAATGTATATACAATAGTGGCAACTCCAAAAATACAGAAATATTGTAGATTGTTATGCTGATCATCCTCATAGAAAAACTAGGATAAAAATATGATACATATAAATGTTAATGACTGTGTAGCATAACAGGGTAAATATAAATAATAAAAATGGACCAAAACTTTGCCATTTCAGTATTTATGAGGTTCAAATTTGTTAAAGAATCTATTTCAGTTCTTATGATATATTTTCATTTTCTACACATGTAATGCCTGTACCTGTATGTTGAAAAAATGTGGTTTAATTTTGTTTTATAATTTGTAATTAATATTTGCAATACTCAATACAACAGCATAATAAAAGTTAAAGTGAATCAAATGTTTTTGTTTATTTGATTAGTAGGTAAAAGATCAATTCCATCGTACAGCTTGCAAATTTCAGTATTTCAGAGCATTTTCCTCTTTGAAGGAGATACCTGTTACTTATTATTATTCAAAATTTTGTTACTTTGTAGTCAGTAAAGTGTTTAATAATTTCTTAAAAGCTTGAATTATTATAGCAAATTTGGGTTTGCTTCTTTGACTTTTTTGTCACTACAAGATCTTATTTTTGTACACTTTAATTCGTTAAGGTTAGAAATTCTACCATCGTATATACCAGTAATTTTGAAATAAAATTGACTGTTAATATTACATCAGGGTTTATAAGTGGCACATTTGTACTTTTTCAGAGTATGATAGTTGACCAAACCATTGAGAAGGTATCCTTTTGTGCACCAGACCGCAATCATGAGAAAGGATTTGCCTACATATGTCGGGATGGAACCACAAGGCGATGGATGTGTCATGGTTTCCTGGCTGTCAAAGAGTCCGTAAGTGTCAGTATTATTTACTATAATTTTACTTTGTCCCGACACATAGCTGCCGAGATGTGTCCGGTGAGCAGGCTGCTGTCAAAACAACCAGACCGATACCCCTCGCTCTTCAGCAGAGTCTGGTACTACCAATGACTTTAAGTTGTGTTCAAACCAGTTTTATTTGAACAATTTTTTTTCGTTATTTTGGCATGAATTATTTCACTGTACAAGTTTAGCATGTTAAATGTGTAGAGGTCGTGTTGATCACTATATTGATATTTATATATATATGTAGGTGTGAAAGTGTGTGTTCTTCTGCATTTATTCACAAAACTTGTATATTATTTATATATAAACTTATTATTCAAATCTTCCCAACCTTAAAAAATATGTAATCATAATAGTTTTAGTGATCATGGTAAGTTCAGTTAAAATTGAAATACAAGGATATAAATCCAGTTTTTATTAGTAAAATCAAGCATTGATCTGTGTCTGAAATGTAGCCAGGTGTTGGATTTCATCAAATGAAAAATGATAATTAAAAAAAGTCCTCTTTTTTCATTAATATTTCAGTATCAATATAAGATTGACACCGTGTATCAAATGTGACATTTGTTCCTGCTCAGCAGGTACATTATTTTTTTTGTAGAAATCTTTAAAAATGTTATTAATGTCTGCGAGATCCATGTATAAAAATAAAATATTGCACATTGTGAATTGCAAAATTCCATCCAAATATCAGTTTCGTACCACAATTTTTGAGAAAGCTTCAATGTTTTGTATTGATATCACCTGGTTAGTTTGAGAGCAGATGCGTCGTCCACCCAACTCGGCAGTTTTTTTAGTGTCTGCGTGGCTTCTCTTGCATACTGTGTCGGGATTATTCCTTGCTTTTTCTGTCTTTAACTTTTTTATTTTAATTGTAACATATATTCATTAGTTGATCTATGTAATTAAGCATATGATGCATGGATTTTGTCTGAAGTATAACAAAATCAGCTTTGACCATCTTGTTTGGTAGTAAAATTGCTTCCGTTTGTTCATTTGTCATTTCAAGTAGATGAAAGATATCATACTTGTGACTAAAGAAAAACTTTACAATTAATAAAAGCATGCAAGTATATTAAGCAATGTTATGTTTCAAAGATTTCTCTTTTTGTTTCATATTTTGAATGAAATCTTTATGAATGCTGAATGACTGTTTTATAAGTTGGCCTACTTGTTTGTTTTTCTCACCAAGTGGTATTTCAAAGGCCGGAACCGTCGCTCCGTGAGTAGTCAAGCTCGGCTCTAGTTAAGCCTGTTCTGCATTCTAGTTTTACACCGTTTGCATGAAGCGAGTTCTAGTTTGTACCGTTATAACAGTATACTCCAGAATATCTACTGATTTGTGTAGGCTTTGTAGACAGCTATGATTTAGAGCTAATGATGGCAGATCTCTCACGGCCCTCAACATGACTTAACACGCGTAGCAGAGTGGAAAATAAAACACAATGTGAAACAAAAAGACACATGGTGTAGCAGAATCAATAGAGAGGGAGTAGAAAATTCCTCAGGGATCAATAAAGAGGGAAAAAAGTTCATGAATTTAGAGTTGGCATCTAAGCCGCAGTAATTGATGTTCTTTGTCTATTGGATAAATAAAGCTTTGCTATGTGTTTGCATCTATGTCACAGTACCTGTCGAGTGATTTGCCATCATTTGATTTGTAAATTTTTTCTCATTCTCCATATAGCATACTCATTTTGCTGTTATTTTTATATTTTAGGGATGGGTTCATATACATTGTTGTCATATGGTTAATATTATTTTACATTTGTTTCATTCAACCATCTTTTAAGTATGTAAACATTTATAAAGTTATGTATTATTTTATACACATTTTTAATGCTATCATGACGGTATATTTTTTCTTTATATCAATAGATAAGCAACACTGTAAAGCTCAGTAGAATCACCAGAAGTTATATTCAGCTTTTATTGTGATGAATTCTCTTCCTTTTTTTTGTTTATTACTAGAGGAATTACATAACTAAATTAATTTTCTATGTGTAAGATCAAAAAAGCAATGTTATTGATAGTTTCATTGCAGCATGTTGCATGCAGAAAATAACTTCATCATACAACTAAAATCAATACATTTTTCAGAATAACAGATTTTGTCCACTTTCAAGTTGGTTCTTCAGATGGAAGCTTGCAATTAACATGTTATTATTGGTGAAGGTTTGCATTCAGTGTGTAATCAATGCTTTAATAACACCATGTATTTATTTCAGATTCATTGTACTAAGCATTTCCTTGTTTTTATATAAAACATTCTGTGCATAATATGCATCATCTAATAGATTATCTCTTGATATGAAGAACATTAAGTAGAAAGAAAGGAATGTCATTTGTTATGTCATCACCTGCTTCCTTTTTCCTGACAATTTTTAATATTTTTTCAAGAATATATTTTTCATGGAAGATTGGAAAGAAATAACCTTGACAGTAAATGTTTGCATATTTTATAGTGCAGTTTACATGGTTTAAGTACAAAATAAAAAGGATTTAAGCACAATATTCATTATTGATAAATAGCTTTTAGAATGATTTTCCAATGCAATGTAAATAATTGATGATTTTAAAAGTTATAACTGATTGATTTTGCTCCTAAAACTATATATGGAAAGCATAAACAGCATTTGTTCAGTATATTTTCCTTAAATATTTTACACATTTTCCCCAATGTTTTAATTATACTCTCTCCTCTGTACTGAAGCAAGGCAAAAAATAATATTATAACCCAGAATCATATAGAAAATACAATATTACTTAGTTAACCAGAGAATATATATATAAATATCTGGATATAGGCTTATAGCATGCACTCTCTAAGATAGAGCCCCTTGTTAATCAACAGACTAAACTGAGTTGTTTTCCCATGTAATCTTTTGATTATGATTTTTTTTTCAGTTTTTAATTGAATTTGATAAAAAATTTATATGAAGTAAAAACATGCATTCTCACTCAGTGGTAATATATTACAACACATATTACAAGTTTTTAAAAGTGAAGACACAGTACTGTTGCAATGTGAAATGATGATTTTGATTTTGAAGTTGGTGATTGTAGGGGGAACGTTTGAGCCATGCTGTAGGTTGTGCTTTTGCCATCTGTTTGGAACGTAAACAGAAGCGGGATAAAGATGGAAATACAGGGGTACAAGTGACCTATTCTCAGGACAAGACCAGCTTTACTAGAATGGGATCATTTAGGCAGACCACTTTGACAGAGAGGATAACAGACCCACAGAGCGCCATACTTGCTGGTAAGAGAATTGATGTCATTATGGTTAGTTGCGAGGTCAGAAATCAATTTTCTCTAGAGTCGGTCATTTTGAAAGGTTCAATTACCTTAAATATTTAGCACTACTTTACTTCTGCTGTTTTCAGGATGGTAAAACTGAGTGTTTTGCAATGGACATATTCTTAATAATATTAATTTGTGCCAAGCACTCACTTTATAAATGTATTGATTTTACACAGAATCATATATTTATGCATATATTATTGATATGTATATATATTAGATGTTGCCTGTAATTTCAGAACCTGTACCTGTCAAGAAGGTAGATAACCCTTTTGCTGTGGAGCGGCCAAAAGCCACACCTTCTATGATTGTCAGACAGGGATCATTTCGAGGCTTTGAAAATTTGCAGAAAGAATCTTCTCCATTTAAACGCTCTGTGTCGTTGAGACTCAGTGACCTTCCATCAACATTACAAAGACAAGGGGCAATAACTGATGGCTCACCACCCAAACCAACTGGTGAGTACATTTTTCACAAGCTAGGTTGAAAATTTATTTTTTGAAGAGATGAAGGAAGAAAAGTTTTGAAGTTAAAGCAAACAGAGTTTTTTTATGCCCCACCATAAATATGGCCAGGGCATGTCTGTCTTCTGTCCTTCACACTTTGCATTTCAATTGCATTGGTACTCAGATTCAAAGAAACTATTCAAAATATTTTTATCAAACCTTTTTTGCTGATATATATTGATGAGAGCTATTCAATGCCTCAATGTTTTTTGACTTTGACCTTTCCTTCGACCTTGACCTTACTTCTGTAAAATTTGAGTTTAGCTCAGTTTTAAAGAAACTATTCAAGATATTTTTAGCAGCCATCATATTCTGATGCATATTCATGATAGCTATTCAATTGCATCAATGTTTTTTACCTTGACCTTTCCTTTGACCTTGCCTCACTTTTCTCAAAATTTTGTTTAGCTTAGTTTCAAAGCTTCATGGACTGATACTTTTTTGTTGAGTGCTGTTGAAGTGCATCAAAATATTATGACCTTGACCTTCTCTTTGACCTTGACTTCTTAAATTTTCATTTAGCTCAGTTTCAAAGAAATAAAAAAATCAAGATATATTTATCAAACTTCTTATGCTGATATGTATTGGTTAGACTATTCAACTGCATCAGATATTTTGACCTCTACCTTCTCTATGACCTTGACCTTACTATTCTAAAATTTGTGTCAGCTTAATTTCAAAGAAAAGATTCAAGATATATTTTTATCTAAACACGTATATGGATACATACTGGTGAGAAATTATCAACTGTGTCCAATTTTTTTTTTAACATTGACCTTCTCTATGATCTTTGACTATACTTTTTGTTGTTTTTAAAATTCAGTTTCCAAGAAACTATTAAAGATATTTTCATCACACTTCATATATTAATGCAAATTGGTGAGAGCTATTCAACTGTGTCATAATTTTCTGACCTTAACTTTCCCTGTGACCTTGACCTTACTATGGCAAGCAGTAAATCTAGTCCTCCCAACGCCAGACCCTCTTGGATTAATGTTTTCTGTTGATACTCTTATCCCAAAACAGATACGGTTTAAACTTTTCAGGCATATTAACTATGTCGAACTTAATTCACAGAGATACAAAAATTTCAAAAATGTCACGAATGGTGGCATTTATGAACTAAATTGAGCAGTTAGATGAATCTGCATCCGTTGTTGGTTTCTACATTTATAACTTAGTCCTAGATATCACCATTTTTGGACAGATATCATTATCATAGATAATGTTGTTGATATATTTATGTATGTGGGAATTAACTTTAACATAGCCCAAGAAGTTTGAATAGATTCTTTTTAGTGAAATGAAGAATGTTAATTTAAAAAAATGGCAATCCGGAATATTCGGGAGTCGGAAATCAAAAGACCTTAATTTAGCATAATATATGTAACATTGTTATCATATTTATGTATGCGTGAATGTATTTCAAAGTAGAAAATGTGCCTGAGAAGTATGAAGCAATTATATAAAAGAGAATGAGCAATATCTATAGAAAACCTAGGGCTGGGAATATTCATGTCCTATGGACAATGGGCGTATTTGTAGTTTTTATACCACATGGTCTTGAGTAATTTTCTGTACACCATACAAAACTTAATAGGATACTTGCTGTACACAGTTTTCAGTTTTAAACTCTTAGCATTTTTAATGCATATTAATCATTATACCATCATCTTCAACTTCCCTCAATATAATTTATTTTCTCCATCCATGAGTCTACTCTGCTCTGTTTTTTGCAAATATAACAGCAAACTATTTGTCGTAAATGGGCATTTATTAGAATGCCAAATTAACCTAATATGTACAAAAATTACACATGCCCATATTTGAATATATTCCTTATAAGGATATTAATATACATAATGAAAAAATACAAATATGACTAGAAGAATTGGCAAAAAAGATGGGAGAACAAACACACCACAAACTTGTCAATAACTTACCATATTACCAATTTCTGAACACCTTTTAGAGATTTGTTTTTGTTTGCAAGTGTTGCTCTTTCTTGTAAAATTTTTATTTAAGTGGAAAATTTGGAATCACTAAAAATGTGTTTTTAGTAGATATCAGTGCTCCTATACAAGAAATGTCACCTTCAAAAGAGCAAGAGGATTCAATAGCCAATATGTGCCAGCAACTGACCATGGGATTATCACAGCTTAGTTCAGATGACCCGTTTGGCACCACACAGAATGTGGAATCGACACCATCTAAAAGTCTTACCTCACCGGCATTCCAAGCACCCAGCCCAAGACACACCACTCAAACAAGTAAGCATGTAGAACAAAAATGAATTTGAAAACATTCTTCAAGCTTTTATGATAAGCATAATGCTTTGTGTATAAAGAAATGAAGCTAAGAAAATCATTTTTTGTACTAGGTGTCTTTTTTTTTTTTTAAATGTAATACACATGTATCTATAAATCAATTTCTTTTTATCATAAGTCATTCAGTGCTGTATCATGATAAAAAAAGTACAGAAATCTTCAAAAAATTTCTTTGAAAATTTATCAGATTCAAATCATCATAGCCACATACACTCGTAGCACATGGTTTGAAAGCTTTTGGCAAATGAGTAGCTCTTACTGTGAAAGAGATGAAAGATCTGACTAGACGATTAGAGATTTTAAAATGATTACCAAACAAAACCAAAAAGAACCAACTTTGAAATCAGATCCTTTAACATTTTTGGCACTGTGAAGAAGGGTGTCACTTGTGTGCTTAATGACGGCCTCCACTTTTGAGTAAAAAATGGGGGTAAAAAAAGTATGCACTTCAGAAGTGACATAACAGTAATCAATTGTGTTAGTTCATTAAAATGCAGATCCACTTTTCTGCAATTTGACATTGCTTTTCAATGAAAAGAATCCTGCTTTTCCACAATAAGTAATACTGCTTTTCCATTATTATATTTTTTGCTTTTCTGCATCATATTTTAATGTGTACCTCTTCTGTTAGCTAGGTAAAACCTGTTGCACCTGTTTACCACAGCAATTCCTTTTGCATAGGTTGTAATTGTGGCTTTGAATATTTTACCTACTCTGCATAGTTAAGACTCATCACCATTCCTTAAAACTTTGACCTTTCTCTAAATTGTGACCATTTAAAAATCACAGAAAGGAGAAAACACATAACATACAGTAAAAACCAATCACGTAAAAGCAGTGTGAAGTATTTGCAAAAAGGCAGACAGGTTGCAAAAATAAAATCGCAGAACGGCCCATTTAAAGCACTGGGAAAATTAAGTCTGGAACAGGAATGTTTCTTATATGTACACATAAAAACTGTAATATTTAGGGTATTTGGGCCCTGCATGCATGATGTAACCAAAGTCTTGCTCCAATGACATGAAAAATGAAATGAAATTTAAAAACATTCTATTTGATTAATAACATTATTGTTACAATAGTTGGTTGCCAACTTTAGAAAAACTGTTGCTGAAGAGAGCATGTCAGGAACAATTGATTTAAAATTTTTAAGACTGATAGTGGCTAAATATTCCAGTCTTGTTCCAATGACATAGAAAAATGAAATGTAATATAAAAACATTCTATTTAATTAATAACATTAATGTTACAATAGTTGGTTGCCAACTATTGAAAAATTGTTGCTGAAGACAGCATGTCAGGAACAATTGATTTAAAATTTTGAAGACTGATAGTGGCTAAATATTCCAGAAATTTTTATTTTGCCAAACTTATCTTTTAACATTATCAAAGGACATTTCTCTTTTTTTCATGCAAAAGCAAGACAAGTTTTCCAACTAAGTTTAAAAGGAGATGGGTGAACATAGCGTGCAGAAAGCCTATAGCTTCAGATATATATAAATCATGTTCATGATGTTCAATTTGTGAATTTTGTATTTAGAGTAACATTCTCATTATTGAAGTTTATGAAATTATGACAAACAAAACTTTTAAGAGGAAAATTTTCTTGGCAAAATTTATTCTTTTATTAAAAAATAATGTGCTACTCGTGGGGTTCGAGCCCTAGCAATAAAAATCCTGAGTATCATTTTCTTTCGAGTCTAGCACGCTAACCACTAGACTACACAAGTCCTGATGAATAGTGGCATTTAAATCATGTTTGTAATATGACCCTTGACTTAATGGACTTAAAGTATTTCTCGAAAATATGCAAATGTTATGTCATAAAAGTTTATTTTTAAGGTATAGTGGGTCTTTGCTCCATGTTTTTGGTAACCAAAAGATGTATATTTTTATGCAAACTTTCAAGATTAACTGTCAAAAAAATGGAGCAAATTAAAACCCACTCATATCGAAAAATAGTGTTATAGAATGAGAAAATGACTCATTTTGCCCTCTTTAGTGTGTGTATAATATTTCATAGGCAAATAATTTCAATCTTTGTGAGATTTTTGCAAATTGTAGAGATCTTTCGTAAAGTATATTTTAACGTTAGATGAAATATTTAGGAAATTTTTGATATAATTGAGATTTAATTTCTCTCATTCATATTTGTCACTCGATCTATAGGCTTTTCGCTCGTCATGTTCACCCATCTTCTTTTTCATTTATGAGAATATCTTTTATACAGTATTTATGGTTAACTTTATTGAATGTAAGCTTTTAATGTAACCTTTAATGAAAGTTTAAATCATCAATTATATAATCGATTGTATACTACCAATTCAATTTGATAATTGATAATAGTAACTTTGGTCTGATTTTGCAACTTTACCACACATGAATAAAATTGATTTTTCAGAAAGATTCAGTCCCATTTAATTTTAATACTTAAATTTGTTGGTTTATTACTTTTGTGAGGTATCAATAATTGCCTGTCATATTGTATTGCAGCTGTTTCATCACATCCAGCAGCACCCATTCAGCAGACCAACCCCTGGGCCTCTTCCAGAGGCAGCCCCGCCCATACCGCCATACCCACTTCTCCCTGGTCAACACCACAAGCTACAAATCCTTTTGCCAATGCTCCACCCATAGGTGGAGCAACGGTCAGTAATGGTGGTGCTTTTGGTCAGTTTTCACAACAACCACAACCTCCTCCAAGGTCACATGCTCCAAATTTGCAACACGTTCGGAGTCATTCCATAGACACTGGTGAACTTTCCACGAGTCAGTGGCAAAGTCATTCTCGTCACCAAGCAAAACCTACTCTTATGGACATGGCACAGCAACGGAGCTTTCAAGTCAATGGCAGTGCATGGGGGGAATCAGCATCTGGGGTTTCAAAGCCAACAGGGCCAAATGTTGACCCTTTTGATGTTGCTTGGGCTGCTAAGTCTACAAACAGGCCAACAGCATCCAATAATAATCCATTTAGCAGTGGCAGAGGAACACAGAAAACTTTTGAAGTGAAATTATAAAAGTATGAAAATTATGACTTAATATCAATATTCAGGAATAGAACAAGACAAAAGATAATAGGTACAGAAATGTGTTTTTCCTAAGGAGAAGCCAGTGTCTCTAGTGGCAAATGGCAGTTATTGTACATTTACTTTCTTGGTGTTTCATTGAAACATTGTCCATTTCACTCAAGAAGCTTTTTTTTTTTTTGTCCTAAAATGCTACATGTATATTGAGTAAGTTTTTTTTTTATACATGTAAACACTTATTTTACTTTAAAGCAAGTCTTACTTGTATCTGTTTTATGTAAAAAATATAATTTTAATGTTTCAACATAGATGGTATTCTATCTTCTTACTTGAAAATAGTACACATTTATATGTTTATATTATGATAGTAGCCCTTCATGTTGGGATCATATCATTTTATGTATACTTCACATTGTGTATGTTGAACATCTGTTTTTATTACATAGTTTTTGTTGACTCGTAAACTGATCTGTGCATACATAGATTGTATTAAGTGTGCAGGTAATGTAATATTAGACCCAATCAATTTTTTTAGAAGAATTTGTTCAAAGTACCTTAAAATCTAAGATATTTTATCTTGAAGTTGTTAAAGTGATATTTTCACACACACGCACACACAATCTTAGATTTAGACCAGAAAATTTGTAAATAAATTAATTCAACTGACTAATTAAGATATTAAACTGATAGATGCTTAATTAATAGCAAATTATGCAGTGCTATTTTATAGAATATATAGATATCTAAAATTTATATTCTAGTATTTATAATCTAGGATCATTTGATTTGATCAGGGACTTTTAAGTAATCTTTTAACATGTTAAACATATCTTCAAAAAGAAAAGTTGTGAAGAGTTGTCTGTGATTACATTTTGTGTTTTTATAAAGCACAGCAGTTAGATTCATCTTAAATGTATCATTTTTTGCCAGTTACTCTTTAACAATAAATAATGAGCTAAAGACTAGGACATACATACATTCATTTTATGTACTATTTCCATGAAAATTGACTTTAGAAAATGTAAAAGAGATACAGTTCTGTGCAATGGCAAGTAAAAGGAAAGTTGATTTTAATTTTTTTTTCAAGATTTGTCTTATGATGAAGGCTTATCAGACCTTTCTGTTTAACCTGGCCTCGGGATCATGAAACATATTAAGTCAAAAAATGTATACTGTATTGCTCTGAAATGATTTAGAAAGCAAGTGGTCCAAAATATAAATGCTTTTTAATTTTGCATCAATAAATTGCTGTTATATGCAAATTCAGAGTCTTGGCTCACAAGTAATTAACATGGAATAGATTTTTAAATTTAGACTTGTCTATGTCTGTTACATGATCCCAGGGCCAAGTCTATATTCTACCATGAGAATTTTAACAGAAAACTTAGTTTTTAACTTTTAAATTACTTTTCATGGTCTTTCAATGTTGGAAATGAATGACTTTGTAAGACATGTTATAAGCTGTTGGTCATGTAAAGAGTATACTGTATATCACCTTCTATTCGTGAAAACTTTATTTTCGAGTAATTCTGCATGTCTGTCTGCTCGCAAAAAATTTCATTCTCGCGTATGTTTTTATTGTTAAGGATTATATACAACAATAACCACAGCTCATGAAAATTTTGTCTTGCTTATAAATCACCAAATAGCTGTCTCGCTAAAAGAAGGTTTTGCGAAAAAATAGTGATCTACAGTCTTTACTCAGATTGATTGGAAATGTGACCTTCAGATGTTTTTCTTAAATACTTTTAATTAGCAGTTGTTGTCTAGGTGCTTTTTAACTTTATACAAAAATTGATACCTGCTTTTCTTTGGCATTACTGGAAAAGTCAGGAATCCTTGGTATGCAGGGCCTTGTCATTATCATAATGTAAAAGCTCGTAAATCTGTAATATTTTACTGAGTTACTGATTTATTGCAATTATCATGTTATGTTTATATTTTAAACATAAGTCTTGCATTAATAAAATCTCAATATAGATTTTTTTCCACTTCCGTAAGTTTGATTAATTATGTTGGTCTAACCCGGTATATGAATGTTATAGTAACATTCAGTCATAAGAGAGTTCGGACATAAACAATCATCTTGAGTGGGACACAGGTATGCTGTAAATGTACTCATTTTTAGCATTCAAAGTTCAGTTTAGGAGTATGGACTACTTGGAGTAATGATTTAGCATTACTATAATGTATATTACTATCATTCCAATTTGCTTGATCAAGCGTGGTAAACTTTCACACGTTGATTACCATACTACTCGTTGATTGGCTGGTTGGTTTAAAAATGCATACTACATTGTACTTGACATATAAAACACAGGAACCCCAAATACCACCGAGAGTATTGACCAATCGCATCAAACTCATTGAATGATTGTTTACTATGGTAGAAAACAGAAACACGTGGTCAGTCAAAGCATATCTAACTTCCTGTGGCATGTTCAATTGTGAATTGATAGGATTAAAAATGTCATACTGTACATATAAGAACTTTTATATAAAAAATAGTAAAGTAACGCTCCTGAGTACTAGTACATGGGTGCAGAATGCAAGTGATGGCTAAATAATGCATATTGCTATATGTTTGATCAACACAACAAAGTGCTAGAGTTTCAATTTAGATGTTCAAGAAACTAGTGCGTTGATGTACTAGTACTAGTATGAATCAAATATTGGAATAAATCAAAATCTTAAGGTCTATTCGTTGTACAAGGAATAACTAATCACAACCAAATATGACACATGCAGAAAATGGGCTTTGACTGACCATGTGTTGCTGCTTACTACAAATTCCCTACACGTGAACAATCATTCAATGTGATTGGTCAGTATCATCAGTGGTATTGCTGGATTCTGTTTTTATCTGCAAAGTAGTATGATTCCATTAAAATCAAATATCCAATCGATGAGTTATATGATACTCAGTTTGTGAAATTTTACTACAGTCAATCAAGCAAACTGACACACTGGAATAATAGTTGATACAAAAAAAATCTGAGAATCACAAGAGAACATCAAAATGCCAGTCTCTCAAATGCACATGGGGAATGATAGTAGATACAAAAAAATCATAGAATCACAAGAGAGCATCAAAATGCCAGTCTCTCAAATGCACATGAACTTTTGTTCTGCCCTTACCTGACATAGGTGCAACATATTTATTGAAAGTTAATTAAATCTATACACCGTGTCTTATCTTGAAGCACATTTGTAGTTTTGTGAAAGACTGAGGATATTTAAGGATTAATTTGCCATTCCTTTTCAAAAAGAATTAAATTGCTATCAAGACACTATTTGTATACAGGAGTACGTTTTTCACATTTGCTAAGGAAGCTTTTAACACTGCAAACTGAAGAGTAATTAAATTCCATGGTAGTTTTTATGCAGATAAAATCATATGTCCTTTGATTTAAGATGGAACAAGAGATGTTTGTGAAACACTTATCTTATGCCCCACCCCTCCTCCCTTTGGACATGCATGTACATTATAGGATGCACAAGCCTTTATTATGGGCAGTATACATGGAAATAAATTTGACATTTTGAACTTAAAAGGGGTTATCCACCGGTACTATCTGAGATGCATCAACCAGAAATAGTCTTCTACATCACATCTTTGGCAAAAACACGTTTCTCATGGTATATCAGTAATTAATTCGTTCAATCTTTGCAGAGATAATGAAAGGAAAGCAATATCTAGGTCAAGTTCTGTTTTGGGTGCGATCAAGCAATTTTCGACAGAGTTATGTCCCTTGGACCTAGAAAAATTCCAATTATTTTTATTTGGAAGGTGAAAATCTTAATCTCATAAAAATTAAATAAAAAAGAAAACTTATCAGTAAATGGATGCTTCATTTAAAAGTAGATGGACATGAATGGAGTTAGTGATATCAAAAATGATCCCGAGGGCACCGAGTTGGTGATATAAAAATGACCGCGAGGACACTGAAGCAGAATAGGCCCTGCTGCCTTCTGCGTACAAGGTAACCTACGTACTAGAGTCTAGTTGAACTGATAAATGTGTCCAGCTGTCTTTTGGTAGAGTAACACCCGTGAACCATGACACGCTGCAGTAGCAATAGTTATATTGAAATTAGATTTTTATAATTTGATGTGATCCTGATGAAAGTATTTTTTGCATGGTTAAGAATGTAAGGACTTTTAAGGACTTTTATAGCGACCTCTGGTGAACTGTTGATCTATTCAAAAACTTGAATCTGCACTACCTGAGGATGCCTCCATATAAATATGATCAATCATGGCTTTGCTCTTGAGAAGAAGATTTTAAATATTTTTCCTATGTATTCCTATGTAAACCTTGGATCGCCCATTTTGGCCCCACCCTACCCCTTGGGTCATGATTTGAACAAACTTCAATCTACACTACCTGAGGATGCTTCCATATAAATATGACCAATCATGGCTTTGCTGTTCTTGAAAAGAATTTTAAAGATTATTCCTATGTATTCTTATGTAAAACTTTGACCGCCCCACCCCCTGGGGTCATGATTTGAACAAATGTAAATCTTCACAACCTGAGGATGTGTCCACAAAAGTTTCATCTTTCCTGATACAGTGGTTCTGGGGAAGAAGATTTTTTTTCTTTTGTATTCCTATGTACAACTTTGATTGTTCATTGTTGTCCCGCCCTACCCCGGGGGGTCATGATTTGAACAAACTTGAATTTTCATTATTTGAGCATGTTTCCACAAAAGTTTCATCTTTCCTGGCCCAGTGGTTCTGAAGAAGATTGTTAAAAGATGCAATTAATTTTTCATTAATTTGTATTTATCTCCCATTGGAAGAGGGCGTGGTCCTTCATTGAACAAAATTGAATTCCCTTTACCCAAGGATACTTTTTGGCAAGTTTGGTTGAAAATGGCCCAGTGGTTCTTGAGAAGAAGATGAAAATGTGAAAAGTTTACGACAACGACGACAGACAATGGACAAATTTTGATCAGAAAAGCTCACTTGAGCCTTTGGCTCAGGTGAGCTAATAAAAAGAAAATCAATTCACACAACTTGGGAATGTTTGCAAATTAATGGTTTCTTTAGAAGATTAAAAAAAATCCTTTTATAGTTCCATGCAAAACTTTGACCCCCTTTTATGGCCCCAAACTGTCCTTGGGGCCATGAGTTTAACAGTTTTGAATCTACACTACCGCAGAAAGCCTTCACATAAGTTTCATCTTTTCAGGTCCATTGTTTCTTTAGAAGATGATTTTCAAAAATTTTAAAAATATGATCCCTTATTGTGGCCCCACCCTACCCAGGGGTCCATGATTTGAAAATCCAGAATCTTTATTATGTCTAGAAGCTTCCACATTAGTTTCAATCTTTTCTAGTGCGGTGGTTCTTAAGAAGAAGATTTTTAAGGATTTTTCTTCAATGTAAAACTTTAATTTCCTATTGTGCCCCATCATAACCCCGGGGATCATAATTTGTACGGTTTTAAGAATCTACAGGAAACTTCCACATGAAATTCACCTTTTTCTGGCCCAGTAGTTCTTGAGATGAAGATTTTTCTCATATATTTCAATGTAAAACTTTCAACCACTATTGTGGCTCCACCATAAACCCGGGGTCATGATTTGAACAATTTACAATCTACACTTGCTCAGGAACTTTTCACAAACGTCTCACCTTTTCTGGCCCAGTGGTCCTTGAGAAGAAGATTTTTTATGACCCCTCCCTAGTTTTGCCTTTTCTTGATTATCTCCCCTTGGAATCGGGGTTGGCCCTGCATTTGAACCATTCTGAATCCTTTTTTTTTCTTAGAATGCTTTGTGCCAACTTTGGTTAAAATTGGTTCAGTGGTTCTTGAGAAGAAGTTGAAAATATAAAAGGTTTACAGACAGGCGGACATGGACAGAAGGAAGGACAACGGGTGATCAGAAAAGCTCACTTGAGCTTTTACCTGAGCTAAAAAGAAGTGTAAAGTAAGTGGATTACAATTTAGATAACTCGATTTAATTACCTATTTATGCGTATAATTAAAGAATCCAAGTACATGAAATCAATGCTAGTTGACGCAGACTCGGAATGAAATAGGAAAATATTCGCCCTTGATTTTGGTACTTTACACCAGCATGACATGGGTACCGCAGTTTGATTAGAAAATGGCTAATCGAAGGTGATTTTCTGCTCAAATTCATAACGACTACTTTGTTAGTAAAACCTAAGAAAAATGAAAAAGAAATCTAGACATCAAACAGTGGTTACTTTACAAAGGTACTCGTGCAATTTGAAATGTGTTTAGCTCCTGAATAAGTCTTTTTTTTCAGATGGACACTGTGTGCACCACGTGGAATCTCTCCATTCTGGTACGATGATACTGGACAAAAATGGCACGGTACCAGTCCAGTTTATATGAGTATGAACACAGTATGAACATGTACTACATTTTTCTGAAAGAATATCAGTAAGGAGACTGCGATTTATATCAATAGTAAATAAGAAAACAAATATAACAAGCAATTTTATCTCAGATACTCGGATGAAATTCTTGTTAAGAAAAAAAGAGGTCTCCAATGAAATTTCCTAAGCTACTTTACAATGAAAGGGCGGATAGAAAAGCAGTGGGACATGTCTTTAAGTATCTCCAAAATTATTAACAAAAGGCAACTTCTGACAGCTTGTGATATTTTTTGAGCCTCTGAATTCCATTGACGTTCCTTCTGGCCATTCTTCACAAGTGATGTCCTCGGGAAGTTCTTTGAAGATTCCCATCGGACAATCTTTGCATCCAGGTTTCATGGGGTCTTTGTGTCAAGAAATGTAAATAATGGAACTACAAAGATTAAAACATTATTAGTTTTTCTTTGAACAATTATGTAGTTTTAAAATACAAGTAGTCATCAGTTCCTGAAGATTAAGTTTTGATATATAACAAGGAAAAATCCCATTAATTTTAGGATTAATGAAAGAAATTAGATTCCATACATCTGCCCATATCTTCATTGCGGTTATAGAAGCTATCTT